CTTCAGTTTTAAGGGAAAAGAATAATGCCTTCCGAGTACAGCAAGTTGGAGTATATATGAAATTGTGTCCAAATGGTGACCACTTTACATATTTTTAACATAAACAGTACTTTAAGTCAGTATATTTACAATCTTTCTCATCCATGAAGTACTCTGATAAACAGGAAACAACAAAATTATGAAGCATAAAGTTAGTTTCAAAGTTTCATCTGGAAGGTTCTCTGTCAGCCCAAGTTTGAGGAAGTACTCACAAAGCCGCGTCTGACGTTTCGCAGCTGTGCTCAGCTGAGTAATGGACCTGTGTAGGTGGTGAACTCTGGAAGAAGAACTACAGAGTTGCATTTTGAAAAAGGATTTCTTCTTTGAAATATGTCTCATATACACGAGGAGAACTATTAACTTGTTATTCTCATAGTTATGAGAAATGAATTTCCTACAAAGTTTAGAAATTCCTTGATTGTTTGAAATTTTCATCTGCAGTATTTTAAAGGATATTTATTTGATCTTTTGTTTTTTTGTATTCTTCTCTCCTTTTAAAATCCAGCTCATGGTGTTTGGGATCTTCCTGTGCCTGGATGCGTTTCTGTACGTGTTCACCCTGCTTCCTTTAAGAGTTTTCCTGGCACTGTTCAGGCTCTTCACGCTGCCTTGCTACGGCTTAAGGTAAGTTTCAGATCATGAACTATTTCAAATGTCTAGATTATTTTTACTGCTTGTAGTTAAAATAAATAATCACTTGGATAGATTTTTTTAGAATGGGGATAATTCATAAAGTTGCATTCACACTTTGGCCCTTACTATATAAACTAATGTTTTTGTCTTTTTAGTGAATATTATATAGTATTTCTGCTTTTTATATGCACATTTTTCTTTCCAAATGGTTTTGAACCAGAGCTTTGCTCCGGCCAGTGACCTAATGTTAGCAATGCAGGAGCCTGTGTGGAAGAATAGGAAGGACCCAGCACTGGGTCAAGGACCTCATTGCCACTCTGCCGCCTCACCCAGTGCCTTTATTTTCTTGGCATCTCTCGGCCTCCTGGGCATCATCTGTAAAGTGAAGGCTTTGTTCTGGTCTGAGAGGCGAGGGCGAGTGGCATCAGAATCTCCCAGGGAGCTCTTAACTGCAGGGTTTCTCCTCCATCTCACTTGACAGTCACCGTGCGCGTGGCCTAGCGAGCCTTAGTTACTGCTTACAGGTGAGACGCCCTCTGATTTGTGAGAGGGGCAAACTCTTGAAGACCGTTGTCCTGCTGGGAAGGATCACCAGCCTGGTCAAACGCTGATTAGCTGGTGAGCTGTGGGCAACTGCCTGACTTCTCCAAGCCCGTGTCTCCGTCAGTAGAAAGGGGATGTTGAGAACCAGTATCTTTTACCGCAAAGACTGAGGTGTAAAAAGAATACTCAGTGTAGTGCCTGGTGCAGTAGACAGGAACAAATACTATTTCCTTCCTTCTCTACCAAAAGTAGACACAGGAAGATGAAAATGTAAAACTAACGTGACTCTTCATGCTTTGTTGATCTTGAGGTTAGAAATTTGGAGTTGACAGGTTTTCCTCTGTGTTGTTATGTCAACGTACGTCCGCTCGGGATGGTCACTCCCTGTAACGTTGCTGCAGAGCTCTCGCTCCAGCTGCCCAAGGGAGGTGTCTAGCATGCATCACGGTTCTAAATACATTTCATTCTGAAAAAGTTTTAAAATACTGAAATGGACAATAATACGTGAAACTGTATTTAACTATAAAGTAGATGATTCATCCATGGTATATAACATATATAATTAATAACATGATAATGGATAACTTAAAAATTATTAGTCAATATACAGAACTATATGTTGAAGTTTTTTAAAGACTTTAAAGTCATGGAAGATTCTCTTTTAATGTAGTAAATGAACATATACTTAATATTTAGTAAGCTCTGATTAACACATGCATTCATTTTTAAAATGAGCCTTAGTTTTAATAAGAAAGATATCCTTGTAGTATAAATTGGAAGAATTTATTTATTGATCATGATGATCATATTGTGGTAAGAGGAAAACTTCTTTGCAAGATTGCATGGAGTAAAACAATGATAAGAATAAGATCACATCATTGTTTTATGTGATACTTTATGTTCTGTAATCTTACTGTCCTTCCAGAATGAGAGAATTATGTTACGTATTTTATTAATTACATGTTAAAATCAAATGGGAGAATCTTTTTTAGGAATTCACCATTAACTTTAAGAAATTCAGGTACATACTTTATGCCCTTGGGGGAATTTTTAAGAAGGCTTTGTTCATATCAGCACACCTTTTTTAAAGACATTTGGAGCATGGCATTTCAGTGTTAACAAAGCCTGATGCCGTATTCTGTCACTGTTCCTTTATCATCATTGGGAGCCCAATAAAATCGTGGCTATTTTAAGAAGAGCAGGAAGGAAGTCTAGTAAGACATTACTAAATATAAATCTTCATGTGCGATTGCGTGACAAGGATGGACACCCGGAAAATCGGGTAAAGCCAGGTGCAAGTACCTGACATAAGACAGCTCGTGCCGTGTGGAGATTCTCACGTCTGCACTACAAGTGAGATTACTTTTTAGCTGTTGTTTGATCAACAGTGTGAGGCAGATCACGTTCTAGCCGTCTTGGCGCAAGTAGCCTTTAAAGACAGAGCATGTTCTAATGACTGTTGGCATGATGAGCTAGAACATTAGGAGGATGTGTACCCAGAAACACCCTTCCGGGGGGGCTCCTTCTTGGGTGTGTTAGTGGACGTTCGCTGGCTGAGAGATTTGAAATGTTCCCAAGGGCCTCTTATTTTAGGTCCTTATCTGAAGAGCAGTCTTGTTGCACAGGCATCTAAACTGTGTCTCTTGTCACTTGGGGGAGCAAGACACCAAAGTAACATTGGAGCAGTCTTTCAGTGTTTGTTCTGAGAACACAGAGGTGCTGCAGCGCGGGGAAGCCGGCGCCCGCTACTCGCATACGCTGGAGTGCGTGGTTGGTTGTCCCTGAGCCAGCCATTTCTAGGTATTTTAAGATATTTTAAAGCATATAAAGTAAAGATGATAACTTTTGTGGATCACTTTAAAATATTTTTCAATCTAAATTAATCTGAGTAACATTTTAAAACAGAATTCAAATACATTCTATTTTCAAGGTGTTATGGCTTAACTGACACCAGAGGGCAGCCTGTTAACACTGTTTCCTGTGGAAACAGTTCTTACTGTTTCTGCAGTTTGGATCAACTGAAAAATTACATTTTATGCCACCACTAATAAATATATGATAATGTAAAACGTAACATGCAGTTAAAATTGTTATTATAACAGAATTTCAGCACTTTTAAATGCTCAGTGTGAGTGTAGATATAGAATATTAAGATACTGCCTTCCTGCCTTAATGCCTAAAGTATAATTTATCAGAATTAAGTGCTTTCTACTTACAGCAGTGTGAGCTGCAGTTTATATTTTCTTTGAGCAATTTATAAAACAATGTATTTTTGAGCATTATTTTTTTAAAGCACCAAACTTGGAATATTTGAAACTTGAAATGTAATGTGAAAAATTATATTAGCAATTATATTAGCAAAGCTGTTGTTCATATTAAGTCTAAGACCTTTCACATATTTTTAGGAATATGAACAAAATTATTAATCAGCCAAATTTTGCCTTCTTATAGCTTTTCTTCCAACATTGTCTACTTCCATGAAAGATTATTTGATTTGTCTTGCCTGTGGCTGTACCACGTTCCATCTTTTTCAGCAAGCAAGAAGTGCTCTTTCCTCCAGTCTGACTTTACTTTTTCAAAGGGATAAGAAGGAATTAAAGAGACCAGCAAAGAAGTTGGTTGTATCCTTTTGTCTGTTTTCTTTTTCTCACACTCCTGGATTTTAGTCTTCTTGCTGTTTTTGTTTTTCTTTAAAGTTACTGTCTTCCTAGTTCCTTAGTTCTTTGAAAGTATTCCCCAAAAGGGGGAAAAAGGAGATATTTGTCCAAGTAACCGAGATGCTGACTTGGAAGCAGGAGCTGTTTGCAGTCTCCAGTGCGGTGGTGGTAGCGTCGTGCCGGCAGCAGAGCGCTGTTAGCGCCCTCCTTCCAGAAGTGAGATTAGTGTTCCCGCCTCCGCTACTTGCACAGTTAGATCTGGTACAGCATTTGCAAGAGGCTTCTGAAAGCTGACAGTCTCCCAGATTTTCTGCTTTAGAATTGATTCTTTAAACCTATTTCCAAATCTTTCGCAGACTTGCCATGGTGTTTGGTTTTGGCTTTGGGCTTTAAAGTGCTGACAGCCAAGTAGTCTCGCTGCCTTTCATTAAGGCTGAGGACCAGAGTGGTTCTGCCACCTCTCAAGGAAACCCAGCCTTCATTGTGATTGGCTCCACTGGTGAGCATTTTGCCAACTTTTGGCTCTGTTAAAAGTTTTTCATTTTGAAATGTTGGCAGGGTGATTTTCTTGGCTCTGTATTTTTTACAGAGTTGTATATGTGTTGTCTGCAAAGGATGCACTGTTTCCATAAAAAGTTTATACCTGTCCTTAGTAATATCAAGAACATTTAAGTGAAAGCTATTGCTAATGAATTAACAATCTTGAAAAATCTTTGCCGCCAAATATTTTGCTGTAGACCAAAATAAATAAAGAAATACATCCAGATTCTTTAAAAGCTGATTCATTAAAGTACTTCTTCCCTCTTTCCCCAATAGGGTAGTATAATTTGGAAAAACATTTGAGAAACTTACTGAATTAGGATAATTTTTTTAATGAGGAGGACATGGAAATCAGAATTGAAATTTGATTCATTATATGAGGTCTCTGTATTCATGGGAGAATGAAAGCATTTTGTTTTTTAGAAAAATAGAATGCTCTCTATTATGCTAAAGAGGTATCCAACATCTTTTTTCCAAAATTATAGAATAAATAAGTAATAACCAACTGTACGTGTGGTTTTAATTTACCTGGCATTTCTGTGAATCCTTTTTCCTCCTCAAACCTGCAATTTCGTTTTGTGTTTCAGATTTTTCATATTTGAGTTAAAAGTTGAGGGAGATTGTAGAGAAAAATGATACTATCTAGTGCCAAGAACAGATAGTTTTGAAAACCTTGCTAAAATATTTTAGACAGTAATAGTGTAGAGTAGGTTTAAGTAAGAAATGCTGGCATATTTTTCTTTTGCTATTAGAGTAAATAAAATATGTGCAAGGAAATTTTATGGATCTCATGCCATGGTTTTAGGCATAACTCTTACTTGAGGCTTAAAGTACTTTTTTGTTTTTAAGAGGCAATGGTGTCTTTTTCTTTTGAGAATTTACCCTTAGAAAGCTCTTATCTCCCTGCAGAATTATGAATTTCAAATGCTTGAGTTTCTTAACCCATTGGGTTTTCCTCCGTATGCCTTACCTCCTTCAAGGTAGTTCTACCCAAAATTAACTTCACGTACATAAACACACACATATACATATATAGTAGATTTTCCCCTTTTTAGACATAAGCCTTGATTTTGGCCTGAGTGACCAGTGCCACCCCCTGTCGCACGTGTAGGGAGAGCTCTTGGTAGCTTTCTCTGGGGAAACGAGCATGGCTGTTATTTCCTCTTACCAGGGCTGATCTGTGTGGCTGGTTTGTAGGGAGCAGCACATTGATTAGAGAGTCTTCATAACCTCAGGTTGTGTCCTCCCCCG